GAGAGAGAGAGAGAGAGAGAGAGAGAGAGAGAGAGAGAGAGAGAGAGAGAGAGAGAGCTGGATCATGCAGTCAGCAAAAGATGTGGGCCTTGTTGTTCTGTTTGAATGTTTCAGACCAGGGTGTACCATAGTTGTGGGCATGGATGTTACTTGTTAATGAATAGAGTATAGACGTGGATGTTGGCTCTCAATGACTAGAGTGAAAATTGACATCAATTGCGGAGACCAGTCGTCAAACGAAGTGAAGGGCTACTGTGTTTCAGTGTAGGCCATGGTCTCACCTGTCTGATGATTGTCAGAGCATTGCCTGAGTTTTGCTCTTTCGTTTAATGTGTTTGATGTGTCACAGCACAACGCGGGAGCTCCCACGGGCCTGTTCTTGGAAGCGTTTTTGCAGCTCTTGGAGACGAGCAGAGGCAGTCGATCGAGGCCGTGTGTTGAAGGTGCTTTGCGTCTTTCTGGTGGTGGTGGGCACTGGTTAGTTATGATGCGCTGTTTCTGGAAGACAGTTGGTCGGACACGATCGCCGCCCGAAGTGGTGTAAACTTGCAGCTATAACCTGTATTTGGCCTGATTGCTGGGTGTGTTCATTTGCCGGAATCGCAACGAACTAGGGGCTGGGTGTTTGAGTTTGGCCGTCTTTTCAAAATGAATAACTCGAAGTATGAGATGGGCGAAGCCCGAAAGAATTATGGAAACAACTGGTCTACGGACCTCCTCCATGCGCCGTTGAAGGACCTCCCGACTTGCTGCCTGTCAGCCCTCTGCCCCTGTTGCATGTCTTTCTATCTCAGGAAGTTGGTACTTGGAGGCGATCTATCGAAGTACACATGCTGCGCAGGCTACATGCCATGTAGCGGCAAATGTGGAGAGAAGAATTGCCCTGCCTTCTGCCTGGGATTAGAGGTGTGCATGTGTTTCTCCTCGTCGGTTGCGTCGACACGTTTTCTGCTTCAGGACGAATACAATATCAAGAACACGAAGTGCGACAACTGCCTTATCGGATTCATGTTCTGTCTCTCGCAACTGGCATGCGTCTGTCGGATTGTCGCATTCCTCACGGACGTCGACGCGATCGATTCGGCGTCCGATATGCTGACACTGGCGTCGGATGTCGTGTACTGCACTGTCTGCGCGTGCCTGCAAACACAGCACAAGGTTGAGCTGGATCAACGGGCCGCCGGGCACCGAGGAACGATGGTCCAGCCACCTCCCGAGCAGTCCATGTACAGGTCGGAGGCCCCAACTTATCCGAATAACTCCGGCGCTGCAGTTGGGCAGCCTTACCCTATGCAGGCTCCCGTCGTCGCGCAGCCTTATTCTGCGTACCCACAGCCAGGTGGTCCCCAAGCATATCCGGGAGCTATGGCCCCGGGTGGTCCTCAAGGGTATCCGGGAGCCATGGTGGCACCGGGGTATGGAGTACCTGCGGCACCCATGGCCCCCCCTCAGGCGTACCCGGGACAGCCTCAGCAGCAGCATCTGTTCGGGCAGCATCCAACCTACTGATTGTTGGCGCCGAGATTTCCCGAATGACCTGTTACTTACCCTTTAACGTCCCTCTCGAGAAAGTCGCTGTTTCCATATCAACTGGCAACAGTGCTTCTGTATAAAGACAGGGAATACGACTATGCGCTGCCCCTGTATTAGGAGGTGGGAAATATGGTGAACTACCTGCCCCCTGCGCCCTCCCCCTGTGCGAAGATGGGGAATATATCGATGCTTCTTTTTTTTCACAGTATGTATGTACCTTTGGGGAAAACCTCTTCTCTGCGTTGCGAAGTGAGAGTAGTTACTTTCTATAGTCAGCGCACATCATTACCTTATTAGGCTGCATGGCACAAGAGGTGCCATTGCAAGCCGCACGTCCCTTATTTCAAACTCGGTGCCTCAGCTTGGGGAGTCTGGCTGGGTCAAGCGAGGATGCGTCCCGCAGACCATGACAGCTTGGGGAGTCTGGCTGGGTCAAGCGAGGACGCATCCCGCAGACCATGACATCGCACAGCGATCGCAAACAACATTGCCACAGCAGGCTCGGGGATTGCCTTCAAATCCACCGCGGGTTTTCAGCTCACTCAGTACTCTTCTTTGCGACTGTTGAAATACAGACCTGACCTGAGTTCAAATCCAGCTGGAACAAGAAATGTACCAGAGATTGAGAACGGCAGTTGGCATGTGCAAAATGTATGACCGGCTGAGGGATTGTGTCCAAATCCAACAGGTTTTCAGCTCCGTCCGTACTTCCTTGAGCTGTTGAAATACACAGACCTGACATGAGTTCAAATCCAGCTGGAACAAGAAATGCACCAGCTATCGAGAACAGCAGTGGCATGAGCACAATGTATGGCAGTCTTGAGGGGTTGTGTTCAAATCCAACAGGTTTTTCAGCTCCGTCGATACTTCCTTGAGCTGTTGAAATACACAGACCTGAGTTCAAATCCAGCTGCAACGACACCATACACATTGATCGAGGACAGCATTGGCATGTCTACACTCTATGGCAGACTCAATGGGCCTGTGTGACTAAGTTCGTACCCCCGTGGACTGTTTAAATACAGACCTGTGTTCATACCCAGACGGACCTTGACGAATGAAATCAAAGAGGACACATCTTGGGCTTTTATAGCTCATCAGTTGGTACTCGCTTTTACCTTTTAAATGCGGACCGGAGTTAAAATCGACGGGGCAACGCGGGCTTGAAGTATATGGGTACTTAACGTGAACGATGAAATGCGAGCGGATACCAAGGGAGGGCTCGTTGGACGGGCAACGCGAAGAAGGAACGTACTAACGTACCGATGATGTCTGCATTTCTGACGCGTGAGATTTTCTAATTTGTCGGTATGGTGGGCTATTTATTGGCCATGAAATGTAGCGGGGGTGAGCTAGAGGAGCATGCTAGCAGCATAGAAGATATGGGTTGCCTTGTAGCGCTCAAAGTAATCTGTGAAGAGATGGGTAGCAAGCTTGCTCTCCGTAGGAGGCTGGAGTGTGACCATCCCTGAGATATATTTGAATGAAATTGAATCCTAATCAGAGTAGCTTTGAAATAATTATAGTTTACGTGTTAGTTGAATCTGGACATGATTGTGGGTTAGGTGACCTGCTTGCATATTTGCTGAGTGGATTTGGTTACAAACTTACCAGTGTTCTTTCCTAACACTTTTTTTTTTTCTTTTTTCCCTTCTTTTTTTTTTTTCCTTTTTTCTTTTTTTAATTCATCAGGCTTTGGAAATGGAGTTGGTTCTTTCTTGGACCGAAATTTACCGTAAGGCATCGCGCTCCCTAGTGTTTCCAGAGTTTGCACCTTTTTTTTTTTTTTTTTTTTTTAACTTCGATAATTCGTCACGCTTTGGAATTGGAGCTGCCTCTGATGGCGCCTTTGGTCTTGAGGACGGCAAGAGCATCTGCAATGATGATATACCGATAGATGAGGTACATCCTTCTCCTATTCCTTTTCCTTTCTACTAGGTGTCGTTTTCTGGTTACGCTGACTCCGTACCGTAGTATAGGACTCTACACCTTATAACCACACAAGGGGTCAGTGTGACAGCAGGTGCAACATTTATTTCAGAAGTCAGAAGGCAATAAGAGCCGTTTTTCCAAGAAGAAGGCCGGCATGCCGTACTGTGTCCGGTTCTCTCTCTTGGTTGAGCATATTTGAGCAAGCAGTTATGCCGAAATCAACATAGATGTAGTCAGAAGGCAAACGAATGTGATGCCTCTCTGGTGTGTGTGTGTGTGTGTATGTGTGTGCGTGTGGTGTGTGTGTGT